TGGTCTGCGTTCTGCACTACGCTTTTGTGAAGGCACTGGTCTCGGGGCATTGGTTAGGGTCCTCCTTTGCGCAGAGCGCGCTCTATGTGTGGAGCGGCCTCTGCTTTCCGGTAGGGCCCTTTCTGGTGCTCTACTTGCTGTAACTGGTGCTGGTGTTTTTGCAGCAACCTGCGCCTGCGAGGCTATCGGTCCTGTGGTTGTAGGGGTAGAGGTAGTCACTACCTGAGGAGGAGGCTGTTCTGTTCTCCTGCTCCGATTCCTCCGCCTCTTCCTTTGGAAGGATTGCCTCTCAATGGCGTCATTGGCAGGAGGTCGGAGAGTCGCCCCGGTGGTTGCCCTCTGCTCTGTGGGGGCCACCGTTTCTGTTGGTACTGATGGGGGAGGGTGGGGGGGGCTGGTTGCCTACCCTTTCCTCTAGTGATGGTAGCCCACCCGTCCTCCTGTATGGTAACTGCCTTGGGGCGACTCTGGGGGGATCCTCTTGGGGTTCTCCGGGAGTAGCCCAGGTAGAACGATCCCCTGCTTCCTAGCGATCCTCCTCAGGACCGGGCAGCGGCGATCGTTGGCCGTATGGTTCTTGGCGCAGTTTGCGCACTTTGGTTCTTCCTCTCTACCCCTTGGGCAAAGGCTGGCAATATGCTCTCCAGCACAGCGAACGCATTTCACTGGCCTGAAGCAGTTTGCTGAGGCATGTCCGAAAGCCTGGCAACGGTGGCATTGTGGTGGCCCCGTTTTCCTTTGCCAGGCTTCAATGACTACTCCTCTCATATAGGGGAGTTCGTCTATATTGTAGAGTTCTTGTAGCCGCTCCAGGCTCAGATGCTCCAGCTGTGCGTAGTAGAGGCAACCCGGTCTGCCTCTACGTGGTGGTATGGCCTTAACGTACTGTATCGGGAAGCCTTTTGCCCGGATAGCCTCCTCGATCATCTTGGGATCTGTGCCCACTGGCAAACCCCGGATGCCCACTTTAGTGGGCTTCTCTTCTGCCGGGGTATAACAGTACCACGACATGGTTTTGTCCTTCTCGGAGAGCTCGACCATGTACTTCTGAATGGTACGGAACTCATCCGGGCTCTGTGGAGAAAATCTGACTCCCTTCCCGAATGGACGGGCATTAGGAGGATGGCCCAATTTTTCATTAAGGACCTTAAAATGCCTCGTCCAATCCGGGAGGCATTCTGCAACGATCGGCGGATATCTAGATTTCTCCTTCACCTTCTCTGTCTTTTGAGTCTCCTCCGCCGATTGCGGTCGTGGTACTGCAGGGGCCGCAGCCATGTGGGCATAGCTCGTCGACGGCCGCTGTCCATCGTCGTGAGCTAGTCCGGACGGGTTGGTAGTTTGAACCGGTGATGATTTTCCGGCTGATGCAGCTAGGGTTGCATACGTTGTTGAGCCCCAGCTGTAGGACTCCTCACCTCCTTGTTCAAATTGGATCGAGTCCCCTGGTGTTGCAGTTGTTCATGGGCGGCGGTAATCACTTACCATAAGGTGAGCCGTATGCTCGTTTACCCACTCTCCTATAGAAAAACGCAATAAAGGCATACCTAAATAATTACTGCTGTGCGACCTAAATTGCACTCTAATGTATCGTAACAAGAGTATTAAACCATAATTATACTATTATGTATTCCGTGGTATTGGTATGCTTCTATAAAAAATGGAGCTAAGGCTCTCCAGCGATTCTACCAAACTATAATATCGTCAGCAAATCGAAAATAAGCAATGATGTTATGAAATAGTGATCTTACGTGGTAGAGTTACGCTACAGTTATATTAGTTGTAGCACGAACGTTCTCACAGAATACCGGTGTAAAATAGTAGCTTGATACCGTTGTGTTTCGTATGGTGAGTGTAGAGATCCGGAGACCTTGTTTACTGGAAACGAGGCATTACGCCTTAGTCTTCAGGGATGATAACGCATCTGCATTTTGGTTCTTAATCGAAGATATGTATATATATACGGGCCACAGCACCCACTTACCATCAAATGGCCTGTGTGCTCGTTTGTCACCCTTATACTATAAAACAAGTTTTCCCAGAACTCTGCTATAGTCGGTCTTCAACTTAAACTGTTGGCTCGTCTCTGTCGAGGGCTGGAGGAGCCTTGGTTGCGCACAATTGGTTCTTCAATAAGAAATTTATTAAAGTTGCGCCTGTATTTGGAGCTTAACTCCGTCCACATGAACAGTTTCCTAAAAACTTGTCATTTATGTAGTCCACTGCATTGCAGTCACGGAAAACTTTTGGAGCTCTGAATTAGAGTAACGAGTGGACAGAGCGTAAACTTCGTTTGACGTGTAGTACTCAACGTTTAGTTTTTATTTTTCATTATGAAGTCAATATCATTTATCCTAGCACCGTCGGGCCAGGATTGCATTGCACAAAATTTTTTTTTTTTTGCAATACCGTGGGATTAGCAAGAATGTCACAAATTCTCTGCAAAATAAAACTACCTGACTACAGATAAAAGTATACTGTTGTACAAACTTAAAAAACTAATAGGTTTTTCTACCATCAACATCAGGGGCGACTCACCTCCCTTCGGCTACCTTGCTATTAATAATCACCTCGATCGGAGTAGCTTCATTTAACCAGGAGTACTATATTTATAGCCGTGTATATAAGCCGTGGTAGCTCAGATGGTTAATGCTCGCTGTAAATATAACAGAACGAGAGTAACCTGGGTTCGATCCTCGCCGGCACCAATGAAATTGTTAATTGCAATTTTAAGTGCTGATATACCACGTGCTCGGCGGTGAAGGAAAACATCGTGAAGAAACCTGCATGTCTCTGAGGAATAAGAAAAAAAAATATTTCGAAGACATGTGAAGTTCGCCAACACGCATAGGGGCAGCGCGGCGGACACTTCCTTACCCTAAAACTCTCTCAGAAATGAGGGGGAGGCCTGTGCCCAGCAGTGGGACGTATATAGGCTGTAACTTTTACTATATTTATAAATAAACCTCTGGTGTGTATGTGTATGTTTGCAATTTTTCTCCTACTAAACGCCTTCACCTCTTTCAATGAAGTTTTATGGTGTACTTATGGGGTCATCTAGATAGTTCGTAGCTGACAGATTGCTAGTACATTATAAAAATTGTACATACACAATGTCATCATTTTTTGTTTCGTTATAATTGAAATAAAAGACCATGATATATGTTGTAATTTATTAATTATCCATACATAAATGGACACAAAATCACATACTTCAGCAATGTCTTCATAATCGAAGTGGTATAAAAACATTGTTAAAGATACTGAAAACATCAGATAAAAAAATTATATAAGGACCCTAAAAGGAATTACGCAATTAATACTAACTCTTATTGTTTATACGATTACATAATAATATACTAAATTTCTACGTATTAATTTTTGAGTGCATTCACCTAAATTTCAGTTTTAATATAAATGACAGTACACCAGAAGACTTTTATACGAAAAAGTCCGAGTATACATGTAACGGATTTTTTACTTTAAATTTATTATTTCTTAATCAAAAGTTCTTCAGATGATATGTCACTTAATACATCAGGGGTGAAAGGTGTATAATTAAAAATGCTTTCACTGCATCTATTCAATTTCTTAAATAAGTGTTACCAGTATTCCTTTAATATTCCTCGTAAAAATACGATTTCAGCGTTACAGCTGATATGCAAATTATATCATTTCTAATAAGATTTAACTGAAAAATAATCACATTCTCTCAAACATTTAACTTAATGCTAATTTAAAATAAACTTACATTCATACAGTTTGATTAAAAAATGGCAGTCAATACTTAAAATTTCTTACACAGACAAACAGTCTTATACATTATTTAAATTAAATTATCCACTCAGCCGATTAACACGAAACAAAAAAATACATTTCAAACTACGTAAATGCGCGTATTAGATTAATAATTTCAATTACTTAGAGCTCTAACAACCTTAAAGCCTAGAGAAATCTTAATATAACGAAAATCCCTATTTCCAAATTACACGCATTTTACACAGTCGTGTATAAAAGTTTTGATATAATCAATGCAGGGCGGTTGTCGGTCGACAAAATTTCGATGAGAAATGACAGATTGTATTTTCTCAATGGTAGCACCAATGTATTTGTGGGGGAAAAAAACATAAAATATGATAAACGATTTTAAAATGTAATAATCAAAACCTGCCTTTCGATCATTTCGAAATCTATCACAGACTACTTGTTCAGCCTAAATTAACCGAATTTAATGGACATGATGTATTATTTGTACTCAAAAAACGTTATTAAAAATTAATAATCTGACAAATAAGTATTATTTTGTATATATAAATATTACAAGCGTAGTTAAAAAGAATGAAGTAACGAGAGAGTAAACACATATGGTAAAAACATATATAATGGACGTAACAATCAACACAGATTTACAATGTTTAAACAAAATAATTTCCCAAACATATCTTCATTTGATTTTTAATAAGTAACAGTTCAATTAAAAGAATTGGTTGCTGTACTCCAAACTTTGATTTAAAGAAAAAGAAAATACAAATTGTAATCATTGATTATCTTTGCTAATATAAAAGTATCCCTAACATTAATATTTGTAATATATATAAACTGAATATATTTTGATCCTCTTTATGAAATAATTTTAGTAACAAAATGAAAGTACAGTCAGTCTGCTTTCCTTTGAATATAATGTGGCTTTTGAGTCCACGTCTTGGCACTGATTCTGATTTATATATCTTATTATTTATCACGTTCACAATATTTTGCATTAAGCAAGGTATAAAATAGCATTCGATGATGACGAGTACCTTATATATGTACTAAATTTCAGACGATTGTTGATTGAACAAAAGGACATTGGATGATCTCCAAAGTCTATCTATTTGGTAAGTTTCCATTTACCATTGATTAAGTTGTGTGTGTTTTTATACAGTACACTACAATTTGTTTGTAATCTTTAAATTATATATAAGGATTGTAAATTTAATGGCACTATAAAAGTTGTAAAACTAAAGGTCGGTATCATACCAAGCAGCAACATTGTTATTATCATGCGGCGGCTCGGGGAAGGCCAGGTCAGCGGAAGCGGCGCCAGCTCCTTCAGCCTCGCCGATGTCCATGTCCATGCCGAAGCCGCTGCCGATCTCCAGGCCCTGCATCGAGTCTATCGGTATCTGATCGTAGCCTGCTGATATTGAACATTTTATTAATACTCTGATAAATATACAAAAACAATATTTGTACTACTATATATTACTATAATATTTGTACTGTAATGAAAAAACGGGTACACACTATCCAAAAAACTTAAATGTTAGTCCATTCTTTTATTTTAAGTCAAAATGTGTTTTTGGCATAATTGTTTATTGTTATATTTTTTGTTGGTATATTGATTTCTTCGTCATAATTATTATTAGCTCTTGGTGGGCTACCAAAATTCATTTTTTCGGGTTATTTCGTTTATCCACCATGAGATGTACCTTATGGCTTTAATAATAAGAATTAATATTTAACTTATTTTAGTTTAGGGTGGATAGCCGGAATAATACATTTTTTCTATAGAAATTATATGAGAATATGTATGAAGGTAAATGAGGTTTGTTTCTTATAATCAAATAAACAAATATATACATTTTTAAATACTAAAATCCAATTAAAATTATAACTTAAAATTGATCGAATTTTGAACAATAGGAAAAGTAGCAATTCCAAACATATTATCCAATATATATGTGGCCCCATACAGACCCAAAAGAGTGGTATGCTATTATTATGGTGAATGTGTATAATTAATAATGTACATAATTAAAACAAAGCAAAAAGTAACAACTAAGTAATTGAAAATATCAGATTAGGTTTTCTCTTAATGACTTCCATGTTAAACACCCACCCACCCAAATACAAATATATATTAATACTATGTCCATGATTGAGATAATGAAGGTACCACTGTCATCAATTTCTGATGGGCTAAAAGTAAAACTCATGGAAAAATTAACTATATAGGCACTAGTTACAATCTATATAGCTATCAATTAAAATATTTAAAAAATATATCTAAATTATCTATAATTCAATACTATTATAAGATGTTCATTTAATTTGGTATTGTTTTATAAACAGAATGTCTAAATGCCTTGAAATGCTTAGAGTGAGACTGCAAAAGTAGGTAACAGGTTTCAGAATTTTTTAAATGGGATGAAATATCCCAGTAAACATTTACCCTGTATAATTATGTTGTTGACCCAATGCCAAGACTTCTATGAGTTGTTAATTTGGTTATGAAATTTATATATAATATTAACTAGTATAATTGAGTACAGTTTGTTTATTGATAAAAATGCTTTTTATAACACTATCTTACAACATAATATCACCATCATCATCATCAACACCGCTGCCTAATAAAAGTCAACTGAGCCACATAGGCCTCCCCGCATAAATTGCCTTTGATTTTGACATATTAACCACACTCGTCAGGCGGATTATCAAAGATGCTGCCGCTCATGGAATGATATGTGGTAGTGGATTCTTTTACTACACGTCGAAAATCTGATTATATCAGATTATTTCTTATATATTCTTGTTATATTAAATATTATTCTGATAATTTAATGTATTATGATAAATAATTTCATTGTACAATATACACATTCATCATCATTGCCATTTTAACCCATCGAAAACATAGTGTTAAACTTAGGCCTCCCCAAAAGATCTGCCGCTTAAGAGAGATGGTTGTCACAGTTGCACACTTAGTAAGCAAGTTGATAACTGCTGTATGTTTTTACTGCAGTAAAATAAAATTGTACAGCTTTTCTGTCCCTGCGCGCCATTTGGGTTCCTAAATAATTTTGTTTGTGTTGTATAATTTCGACAGTGTGGCGATGACGTAAAAATACCCACCACCAAAAAAATATCATCTCGTGGGTGTCGTAATGTCGCCTCTACACGTTGGCCAACACAGTGGCGAATGTAGTGGCGAATATATTGGCCGAGAGTTGGTGACGGCGTCCACACGTTGGAACGTCGTTCAGTTTACTTCGGTTCGGGCCAATGTGCGGACGAATTTATTTTATATTAGACGACGGCTCCGTGGCGCAGTGGCTTGGCAATGAGTGACTGTGCCAGGAGTCGCGGGTTTGAATCCCGCACGGAACAAGTATTTGTATATCCTACAAATAATTGTTTCGGGTCTGGATGTGTGTCCTTATGCAATTTATGTTTTGAAGTTGCCTCCGCGATACAGGAGAAAATCCAAGTGTGGGGGGTAACGTTTTTATAAAATAATTATAAAAGAATAGTGAATATTAATGGGCTAAAAAAAAAGTAAATAGATATACGATTAGCTTTATTTATTCTTTACATGCATCAGAAACTGGAATAAATACCATTAATTAGAACTAACCTTATTTTAAAGTTAAAGGAGTCATAATCGATAAGTCTATGTTTTAAAATTGGGTTTTGTTTTTTAAAGTTTAGCAAAACATGTACTTGCTCATCAGACATTTGATGTATATAAAAAACACCTTATAATTTATTGGTAATTTAATTATTTTTTGAGAAAGACAAAAACAATAGCAATAAATATAATTAACACTGACTTAATAATAGGGACTAATTATAACTTAGAACATAAATGAAAAACTCATGACAAGGAAAGTGGCTCAGGACCATGCTTTGCGGCTTTCTTTGGAGGAGGATGTTCAGTAATAGACTTGTGAAGAGCTGTAATGATGATAATTCGAAAACTTGCACGATTAAATTATAAGAAATCGACGCTTTTTTTATATAGGATAGGGTGACAAACGAGCACACAGTCCATCTGATGGTAAGTGTATGCTGTGGCCCACAGACGTCTACATCTATCCTCGATTACGAATCAAAATGCAGATGCGTTGTCACCCGTGAGGACTAAGATGAAATGCCTCGTTTCATTTAAAAAGTGTCTCTGGTTCTCTACACTCACTATACGAAACACACAATCATTAAGCTACTATTTTACATTGATATTCTGTGAGAGCGTGGTCCTTCCCCGGTCGAACCGACCCATTCATGCTACAACTATATTTCTAATATAACTGCATGTTTCTACCACGTATAAACGACGTGCTTCATTTTTTTTTTCATTTTAAAATTGTTCTCGTAATAATCTGATTGTAAATAAATGTTCATTATTTTTTTTTATAAATAGCTTATCGATTAAAACAAATGTTTAAAAATAATTGAATCGCGCTAATTAAAGTAGTAGGAATGTTTAAAGTTGAAATTGGCACTAAAAGGCTGGTAATTGGGCCATTCACCCTACAAAGCGTGAATATAAAATTTTAATCAGATGCGTGTAATCAATCTGGGAGCTTGTAGCAAACTAAACTCGCGGCCAACGTGTGGACGCGGCGACCAAACTCTGCCAACAATCCTTTGATCTTTTGTAAAAAACCGACACCACACGGATTTCGCGCCAACTTGCGGGCCATCGTTCCAATACATACCAATGAAGCCCAAACACCCCGTCTACACGTTGGCCAATGCTATTGGCCACTACATTCGCCACTGTGTTGGCCAACGTGTAGAGGCGCCGTAAGAAGCAACACAAACAACACAAGTTACAAACATAAAATATAATAATACCAACTTGCCAGGCCAGACGTTGTTCTACCCTTTTCGATGACCCTTTGTTATGTCCTATTAAAAATCCTTAAATTCGCAAAAAATATTGTAGGTCACTCATGGCCAAAAAAACTATCCTATCTCTCAAATTGGACCAAAATGCACACGGTGTGCAAATTTGATTAAAATCAGTTAAGTAGCTTAGGAGTCCATCGCGGACAAACAGCGTGACACGTAATTTATATATATTAAGATAACAATATGACATTTAACTTCATTCTTGTCACCATTCCTGCGAAGAATAATCAAAAATATTCATTGCCTTTACAATCCTCAACATTAAAATAACAACTGTGAATTCTGGGCTTATGATATAAATAAATGTAGTGAGCTCGTTTTACTTTATTCGTAGCTAGTTTAGTTTATGTTTAGATATCATTTGAACAATGTAGTCTAATTTAAAAATTGATTTAGATACTTTTCGAGGGAAAATTTGTATATTACTATAAATATTATTAAATACACCATTACATAGTGCATACATTTCTCTTACTTTATTTATTTAATGTTAAATGGTAATGTGTATACAAGCCATTATTATTTACTTGTAATACTTGCACAAAAAGGTTTATAACACAAACAACGGACATGCATTTCATTCAAATAGTGATATTTGTGACATTAGTAAGTATATATTATACATTTTTATGGTGATTTAAAAAAAAGAAAAGTATGTTTAATATATTTAACTAAATACATAAATGTAGTGTAAAAATCGACACGCGGTGTGAAGTGCCAAAAAGAAATAGATGCCTTTTAGTATAAAATGGAAAATATAAATTTTATTTTTAATTTTCATGCATAGCACTTTGAGGAAAAATAATTGTAATGGGAATATATTAGGATATAAGCCGAAAAACACACATAATAATAATATTCCCTTCACCTGTGTTTAGTGATATATAGGTCCCGGATTAAGCTGCGTGTAAAGAAGAAAGAAACATATTTATATAGAATCTTTATAAAAATCTTCGTAACATATAGCAAGTACTCTAAAATATTATTAAATAGTGATTTGAAAGATATATTTTAAGAGTAAACATTAAGATTTTGGAAAGTAGTAACACATTTTCAAGTGCCAATCTAATATATTACCAAACCTAGCTAAACTAAATATTAACTTTAAACAATATATTGTTAAGAGCGGCCAACCCGTCTTACTTTTCATACAAACGCTCGTACGTGATTATGATGGATTATGGCGTTGTGATAGATCTTTCTTTGAAATTTTTGAACTAATAGGTATCTTGTGCACTATAGCTAGGTTTCTATCAAAACAAAGAATCAAAATTTAGAGAAACAAATTCAGTATAAGCCTCCAAAAATCTGCTTTTATCCACAAAATTACCTGAATTTTGGCCGTTCATAATGTACTCATAAATAGTAAAACCAATCGAAATATTTTGATAGAATCCTCGCAAATGTAATCGAGTTTCTGTATGACAAACATTTATTTCACAAACTTGTAAGGCTTACTGAAAAACACGTATTTCCTGGAACAAGTTTTATGAAATTTCCGCACACTATTTTTCGTTCAATGTTATCGCGTTCTCACTTGCTTGTTAGTCAAGTGGCGGTGAGGTATGCGGGGGACGAGTCGTGCGGGGTTGGGGCGAAATTGAATGACGCTCGGCTCTCGGGCTCGGGCCTCTCGGAGTTCTTAGCAGGTATAGAATTTGTTGACTGCGCGTACGCGAATGTGCTGTTGTATTGTGAATTCTGTTTTACCTACTACAACGGTCTTGTTTTTTTTTATATCGGACACTGCTTTGGCTTGCGAAAATATATATATATTTTGTGTTGTGAACAACAGAAATTATTGACTCACGTTTCCCACGCAAACTACCAATGAGAGATAGACTAGATGATTGACTGTATTAGATGATAATAATGAATTTTTTTCTAAATACTTCAATCACTTCTGACAGTTTAAAAACTGTTCGTGTTCGGAAAACGAAATCTTATCGACAACTGGGTTGTTTTATGTAGTGTTTATAAAATGTGAAAAAGTTTTTTCGAATAAAAATTGATTTTTTTTTTTTTTTTTTTTTTATAGAAGAGGGGGGCAAACGAGCATGTGGCTCACCGGATGTTAAGTGACTACCGCCGCCCATGATCAACCGCAACACCAGGGGAATTGCAGGTGCGTTGCCGGCCCTTTAGAAAGGAGTAAGCTCTTTTCTTGAAGGTCCCCAGGTCGTATCGGTCCGGAAAAATCACCGGTGGTAAATTATTCCACAGAGAGGTTGTACGCGGAAGAAAACTCCTTTTGAAACGTACAGTGGTGGACCGCCAAGCATCCAGATGGTGTGGATGGTATCGGGACGTTTGCCGTGTAGTGCGTTCACGAAATTTGGCGGCTGGGATTAATCCGAACAATTCCTCAGAGCACTCCCCGTGATAGATGCGATAAAATACGCAAAGAGATGCAACATCTCTTCGCAGCGCCAGTGAATCGAGCCGATCGGAAAGCACTCGGTCGTCGACGATTCGAGCCGCTCTGCGCTGGATGCGGTCAAGTGGAAGGAGCTGGTACTGGGGAGCCCCAGCCCAGAGATGGGAACAGTATTCCATGAGCGGCCGAACCTGCGCCTTGTAAAGTTGCAGGCGGTGTGCCGGCATGAAATACTGTCCCGCTCTGCTGAGCACGCCAAGCTTTTTAGAGGCCAATTTGGCCTTCCCTTCCAAGTGACCACGAAACTGCACGTCACTCGATATGTCGACGCCGAGGATTCCGATACTGGCTGAGGCAACAAGGGGAGTGCCTTGAAACTGAGGGGATACGACAAAGGGGTTCTTTTTAGCGGTTAACGCGCAAACTTGTGTCTTCTGGGGGTTAAACTGGACTAGATTTAGTCGCCCCCAATCCGAGACTCTGTCCAGCAGAGACTCGACTTCAGACACAAGTTTGTCCCGGCACTCAGAGACGTTTTCCCGAGAAATATTTGCTCGGCCGGTGTAAAGAGCATCACCAGTGCTGTCATCTGCATAGCAATGAATGCTACGGGTTTGCAACATATCATTGATATGCAGAAGAAACAGCGTTGGCGATAGCACGCAGCCCTGTGGAACACCAGCATTAATAAGCTTGCAATCGGAGCTTGCACCGTCTACAACGACCTTGATGCTCCGATCTGCAAGAAAACTGGTGATCCAATCGCACAATTTCTCGGGAAGCCCATAGGAAGGGAGCTTCGAAAGAAGCGCTTTGTGCCAAACCCGATCGAAGGCCTTCGCAATGTCCAAACTAACGGCCAATGCCTCCCCCTTGGACTCTACTGCCTCCGCCCATCTGTGAGTTAGGTAGACCAGAAGATCACCAGCTGACCTACCACGGCGAAAACCGTATTGGCGGTCACTAATCAGCTGGTGATCCTCAAGGTACCTCATGAGCTGGCAGTTTACAATGGACTCCATTGTTTTGGAGAACAAGGAGGTGATGGCGATATTTACCCAACTGTATTTAGACTACTTTATTTGACCAACCGCCTGTACTACGGTACAAATTAGTACCTATACAAACATACATTTGTAGTCATTCACATACGGTACGTACATGTTAAATAATTAGGTACGTTACCTAATTTCCGCATCCTCTAATACAATACTAATACAAACAAACTGGATAGATAAAGAATTTATTCTGCCTACCTAGTCCTAAGAGAATTCTTTACTTTACTTTTTCGTGCTGTATTTAGGTATATGATGGACGAACAAAAAAAATCGAACGGAACTCCATTCTAAAACAAAACTGAGTCTGGTCTATGTGTGAGTATTGACGTTTGCGCGTGTAATGGCTGACACATGTGTGAATGTGTCCGGGCTTGGTACGCACGACAATTTTAAAACCAGTTTATACGGATCTCTCATTGTACGGGAAATTGATACAAAGCGAGACCATTGTATACTGGAAATGTCTAGCTTTATGTGTTTACAGTTTATTACTAGCGAAAATCTGTCTGACTTTCTTTGTTCGTCCATGAGGTACCTGTGTATATGAAATGAGAAAAAGCTAATGCATATTATAAATAATTTCCATATTGTCAAAAATAACGCACGCACGGTACATAGATTGGTAAAAATACAACACAAATAAATCTCCGAGGCCAAGCGTTACGTCCGTACTAGACAAAGCATGTAATATAATAAAGTAATATGGTACTAAATGTAGGTAAAGACCTGAAGAAAGAAACGTAGTTGCGCACGTGCTTTCAATATTATTGTCATGAATGGCTCACTAGCGGTTTACCGCCCGCGAGTGAGCGGCAAAAGTTACCGAATGCTAACCGAGCGCTCAAGGCGCTGTCTCTCTCTTTTCGCTTTCCCTCTATTTCTAACATTGCGCTGGATGAAACAACAAGCTTTTCAACCATACTCGCGTTGACGATAGACGGGCCGGGAAGGGCCCTCTTAAATACATTAAATTACTAGTTTGCTAGGTTAAGTAATATCTATTCAGTTCTACATATCCATACCAGATGTTAGTTGACCAAACCACAAAATAAATTGGTCATATATCTTACCTTGTTGATGAAATGATGGTCGAGTGCCATATAATCCCTCATAGCCTTGTTCTGGCCCGAGCATATCCTAATAAAGTGGGTATTTAGATCAAACATCAAATGAAATAGGAGCTGAATACAATAGAAACAAATATAACATTTTATGGGGAACATATCATGCATTTCTAGCGCAAAAAAAGAAAGGTATTATTAATAATAATGTTTATGAAGTATATTATTTATATTTTTTTACAGTATAAGTATGACAAACCACCACACAGTCCACCTAATGGTAAGTGGATGCTGTGGCCCATAAACATCTACATTTGTCCTTGATTAAGACTCAAAATGCAGATGCTTTGTCAAACAAAACACAACAACATTAAGCTGCTATTTTACGCCGGTATTCTATGAGAGCGTGGTCCTTCCCCGGTGGAGCCAACCCATTTGTGCCAAAACATTAATATAGTTGTTGCTTGGCTCTTCCACGGCTATACTTCACAAACAATTATTATTAATAAATGGCAAATCAAGTCTCAAATAAAGCCATTAGCAGTTAATTACTTACATAAAAATGCCATCTACTTATTTTATTAGCCATATATTAAGGCAATATATTTAAAAAAAGAAGATGTTACGAAAATTCATTGATATAATCACATAATACTATATTTTTTTAGCATGAACTTTTATCAACACATTAAAAATATATTTCTTAAATATGAGCTTTAATTACTCCGAAAACTTGACAGTTGAAAAAAAATTACCTGCAAATCAGGTTGCATCCCAAGATCGTTAGGCCACATCTGATGATCGTCGCGGAACAACGAATTGGTCAACTCCATAGAGAGTCTCTTCTTGTAATCATGAGGCTTGTCCTCAGACATGCGGAATAAAACGGCTGCAGCATAAGTAGCAACTCCTGGAAGAGATTGAATAATTTTATAACACAAAACTGAAGACAATAGAATATCGTCTCACTTCTAATTTATTATCTCTCATCATCATCAGCCTATAAAATTTCAAGGCTGAACATAAGCCTTTTTTATTGTAGAGAGCATTCACCATACTTATCGAGTGGGTTGCAGATTACAATTTAGTTTAGTTTAGTTTACGACGGGCTGTTTTCTGCAACTCCACGTCTAAGCGCGTATTTTGCGTGTGAGCAGGAATAATATGCTAATTCGAGCCATTATATCTCCCCGAAGAAGCTCAGCAGTCCCTTGATGTTGCAAGCAATTTCGGGGAGCGATCCCGGCGTGCCGAGATGTTTAGCCCTGTATGAAGCTACTTCTGGACACGACAGCAACACGTGTACCGCCGTTTCTTCCTCTCCCATGCATGCCCTGCACAGGGGGCTATCAGTAACACCTATGGTGAACAAATGTTTGTTAAAAGAGCCATGTCCTGTGATAGCACTTGTTACTATCCTGATCTGTGGCTTGTTCAGTCTCATTAGAACCTTGGTTAGACGACTGTTTATTTCAGGTAGGGCCTCCCTAGCTTGTCTACAGTCTACAAAATTTTTCCAAAGCTGAGCGTGTAAATTATTCAAGTATCTACATACCGGTGAACAAACATAGCCAAAGGGGATTGATATTAATGGTTACGGAACTACAGTTGCTAGGGCCGATCCCCTTCTGGCCAGTTCATCTGCTGCATCGTTGCCTCTAGATCCACCGTGTCCTTTGATCCATTGCAGAGTCACATTGTTGTGCCTCATTCAATTGTTGATGGCACTTGTATATCAGCCCCGAGTTCATCACATTGCAACTTAGAGCTTGTAGTACCACTATACTGTCGGTCAGTATTCTGATGGAGAAATCTTTCACCTTCCTAGCATCTATTGCTATGGCTGCTTGGATGATACCCATGCATTCAGCCTGGAAGACTGCGTTGTGGGTACCCAGCGGTGTGCATATGTGGATATTAAGGTCTTCAGAGTAAGCCCCAGACCCCACACCTTCATTTGTCTTAGAGCCATCCGTGAAAACTTTGAGCTCTCTTGGACCCAATCCTTCCAGATGGTCAGTTTTCTTCAATTGTATCTTGTACTTCTTATCGAATACAAATTGTTTTGGGATCCTATCATACTTGGCTTGTAGGATTTTTGAGTAAATTCTATCGATTATATCTGTATGGGGGACTCTACTCTTACTTAAAAGATTTAGAGTCTTGAGTCTAACGGCAGCTAAAGTTGCTTCTTGTTGTATATGTAGATGAAGCGGTGTTAGCTCCAGCATAGCCTCCAAAGCTGCTGTTGGTTTAGTCCTTATGCAGCCCGTGGCAGCCATATAAGCTAATCTCTAGTAACGCTGAAGCTTTTGTATAGTGGTGGCTTCGTTAGTTTTGGTCCACCATTCCAGAGAGCCGTATGTGATCATGGGCCGAATTACAGTTTTGTACAGCCACAGTATAATTTTTGGCGTTAAACCCCATCGTTTGCCAATCATGTTTCTGCATTGCCAGAAAGTTAAATTAGCTTTGCTGATTTTGTTTTTTTTTGTTCCAGTTTTTTACTTCCAGTTAAGTTTACTGTCCAAGGTAAGACCTAGGTATTTTACCTCGGAGGAAAGCTGGAGTTTTGTGCTGAAAAGACTTGGAAGATGATAGTTATTCAGCATTCGTTTTTGTGTGAACATTACTATAACCGTTTTATTTGGATTAACGGTTAGGTCATATTCCCTGCACCATCTCTCCACAATACGGAGAGCCGCTTGAGTCAGGTCGCACACAATGCTTGCTGTCTTACCAGAGACCAGTATTGTCAGATCATCTGCATAACCGACTGTGTAGAAATGGTTAGCGTTTAATTTGCTGATGAGTGAGTTCATTAATGACCATACCATGCAGATTACAATACCAAATGTCCTTTTGTCTCTTGGCGTGTCGCCAGTCAGAGTATTTTACATCTCTCACAATAATAGAAGTTTTAATTAAAATAGTGATATACATTATGTAAACATAAGGAATAAACACGAGCTAATGATACCAGTTACTCCCCTGTCAGTAATTCATTCTTTTGTCAACAAAGTCAAAGAAAATATACAAATTCTTTTTACTACAAAGATTAAGATTTTATGAAACAAAGACAGTACTAAACTGAAATGTGATTGCTGAAATATGATATATTCAATATGAATATGATAAATAACTGCCTGGTACCCAGCGCATTGTTGCTGCAGAAGAAATAATTGTGGAAATATCATTTTAAATTTGGAAGTTATATTTTTTAATTAGAAATGTTAGTAAAATTGTTGAAATTGAATGATCTATAACTCTCAAATAAATTTCCGGTAAGACTACTATGCCTATAGCCTTCTCGCAAGTGTAAGCAATAAGTTGACTAAGTTTTACTGCAATCAGATTAATAGTATGGCACCGCATATAACACTAACAAACAAATATTAATTTTTAAAAATTAGTATTTTACTATTTTAGGAGCGAAGTTCTGTCAATCAAGCACAACAGTTTAAGCAAGGAAATATCGAAATTTTACTGAATTGAAACTCACCTTCATTACGTGAATGCAACAATTCAGTTAGAGGTGCCGTTGCGCCTTCGGCCTCTATCATCTCGGCACCTTCCTTGTCCGCCGCTAATTCACAGAGAACTCCAGCTGCTACACGCTTTAAACAAAATTAAAGAAAACATTAATGTTATTATAATTAATCTAATCAACATTAAAGGTAAAAGCAGAAAGGTAGTAGTTATAAGGCAATTATATAGTAGTTATAATGCCACTGTGAAAAGTTTCCTCATAAAGAATTTAACATTATTTTTTAAAGAATATATTGAATGTATATTAGATGAGTCTAAAAATAATTATAAGGTTCCGACTACTAACTATTATGAGCAGTTACACCTAGTTTTCCTAAACATCAAAAAAATTTTTTTTTAATTTTTACTTTTATTTTCAACAATCACTGGCATATAGAAGAAGAATAGGATATTGAATTCAATATCCTATTCTTCTTCTATATGCCAGTGATTGGTGAAAATAAAAGTAAAATATTTTTTTTGTTTCTATAACTACAAAATACTTCTGAGATTGCTATGAGTATGCTTAATACATGGTATAGCTATGCTGCCGCTATATTAGTAGCATAGTTGTAGCACGAATGGGTCGGCTCGACTGAGGAAAGACCACGCTCTCACAGAATACTAGCGTAAAATATCAACTTAATACTGCTGTGTTTCGTAAGGGAAGTATAAAGATCTGGAGACCCTACTTACTGGAATAGAGGCATTCCATCTTAGTCCTCACGGGTGACAACGCATCTGCATTTTGATTCGTGATCCAGGATTGATGTAGATGTCTATGGGCCACAACAACCACTTACCATCAGGTGGACTGTGTGCTCGTTTGTCGTCGTTATCCTATGAAAAAAAAAGCTATATGCTTACTATACAGGACGACTATATACGCTGAATAATAATGAATGAACAATAAATAAAATAGTACAATTAGCTAAACCACTTGCTATTTCTCTGCGAGATAAAATTGTACAATCTGAAAGTGACTTAGAAATAACGGACGTAAAAAATGAACTCTATAAAAATCTGTGGAATGAGTTAGACAAGAACTTTAAAATTTTTAAAGATTAACTTTGTCTTTATGACGATATCCTTTGGAGAGGTAATAAAATTGTAATTCAAAACAAATCAAGAAAACGAGTATTAGTAGCAGCTAGCAGTCCACGAAGATCACCCTGGAATTATGTCTATGAAGGAACGATTAAGAGCTGTCTGGTGACCAAAGTTTAATAAAGTTGCCGAGATGTTTGTCAACAGTTGCAAATAGTGTAATCTTGTGGGACTGCTAAATACACTTGTATCTATGAAACGGCGGAAACACCCAGCAGAACTATGGCTTGAAATCGCAATGGATTTGTTAGAACCACTACAAAGCAAGAAACAAATTAAACTTTATACATGTGCCAGGAAGTTCGGCTAGTTCATGTCTTACAGAAGTATCAACAGAATAAATTTCTACATATGTATTATAAAAGTAAAATAAATTAATATTAGAAGTAGCTAAAGAAGAATAATAACAATACCTATTTAATTTAATAACTGTCTCACCTGTATATTTTCGATTTCATTGAAGAGCAGCTGTACAAAGATGGGTATGACGTTCTGCTGACGTATGAGCTGCCTGTTGAGGCTCTCGCGTGCCAGGATGTGTAGGGCTCCGACAGCTCCCTCCACGATCTCCTCCATGCGCACGCCGTCGGCGTAGGCGCCAGCCGCCCCGCCGCCACCGGACACAGATGACCGTTGCTAAATTATACAAATTCAAACTACAGTATTGCACACCTCAAACATGAAGCGGAAGAGGTTACTACCCGCTCTCATTAAATACAGTATTTTTTTAAACTGCACTAATAATCTTATCTCTCTATTCCTTCATTCTCATAGTCCAATAGGAAGGTAAACCGACAAGACCGGAGAGACATCAAGCGCAGGACCAATGGTTTTATGTGCTTTCCAAGGCACAGTGGTGAATAATAGTGAACGTAATAACTGATTTTAACGCGACCCGGGATTCGAAACCGGAACCTCAAAATCATCAGTCGCGTTTACAACCACTAGGCCAGAGCTCTAGCGACTCTCATTAAACCAACTAAATACGTAAAGAAACACAGATTAAATTGTAAAGAGTCTTTTACATATTTACTGATATTTGCTGAGCTCTTTTTTATAGGGTAACAAACAATCACACAATCCACCGGTAAGTGGATGCTGTGGCCCATAGACATCATACATCTATTTTTGTTTTAAAAATTAAAATGCAGATGCATTGTCAAACCTGAGGACTTAAATGGATCACCTTATATACCATGTATACCATAAAAAGGGTCTGAGGTTCTCTACACTCACCATACCAAACACAGTAGCATTGAGCTGCTTATTCATGCTGGTATTCTGTGAGCGTGGTCCTTCCCCAGTTGAGCCAACCTATTTGTGCTACAACCATAACACAACTGCAGCATGGCTCTACAATATAGATTAGTAGGCTCTATACTCTATAGCATAGTGGCTTTACCTATTTGCTTTCAGCATGACCTTTCTATAATTGTTCCGAATCTGGTTATTTTTTATCCGTGTGAAATTAATGTATATAAAATACGTCCATGATAAGGAAGGGTGACGATAACATTTCTATGTAAAAATTTATATTCACACACGTAATTAAGAAACTTACCCTTTGGGTATCATTGAAGGCGCGCATCAGAAGTCTAACCAGGTGATGCACAGCGCCTTGTTCGCGGAGTGGAGCGTGATTGGCTGGGCAAAGCGCCAAGTTTCGCACCAGACCAACAACCGCTTTCACTAACGGCCAGCGAGATGGTGGCTGCAGAAGCTTTACTATCACCTGAAAATAAAAACTTACTTTTTATTTAAAGTGTGTCACATTATAAGTTATGGTTGAACAAATATCAAAATTAAGGAATTTATGCTTCTCATAGTTTGGATTACGTTTCTATAATTATCCAGAATATTGTAAGTCTGGTACGGTTAATAAAAGATTAATATTCCACTATTTGTCAGTGCCATCTAAATGTTTTTTTTTTATATTATAATAGGGATAAATGCATTCCATTGCTGGCAAGCAACCACTAAAACCCATAGGCACCTGCACTCAACAACAAATAAGGGCGCCTTCAAATTAGAGGCGTGAGGAAGCGCTGCAGTGGTGCTACCAAAAAGAAGCGCTACAGTGGCGCGACTGTGTCGCAGTAGCCACGCGTCAGTAATGCTTCGGTAAATTGTAGTGATGTTTGTCAGTTTTTGAAAACATTGCAGATTTTAAAACACATACAAATAAAAACATGCTGTTTTTTACAGGTATTTAGCATCAGATTGTAGCATTACAAGTTTAAACCACTCTTATCAACGAGGACTTTCAACCACTTGCGGGATTGTGAATGAAACATGTCAAATAATCTTCGAAATTATAAATGCTAGTTATATCCCGAAACTAAGTCAAGATAACTGGTTAGGTGTCGCAAATGAATTCTTCAATAAATCCAACTTTCTTAATTGTTTAGGTGCCATAGATGGTAAACATATACGAATCATCCAACCAGAATACTCCGGGTCTTCGAATTCAAAGACCCGGAGTATTCTGGTTGGATGAAATCCAACCCCCCGCCAATACAGTCGACTCGCTTGCATAAAATCCTAAATTATCATAAAATCATAAAAAATCATAAAATATCGGACATCCTAAATTATCCAACCATGTAAAAAATAAAAATTTATAATGTCATCCTAGCAATTATTAGATTTTTATTCTTGTGATGAGATTTAAATGTGAAAAAAGTTTGGATTCGGTTTTGCGCCTGCGTTTAGCTTAGTCGTGTATTTGGTTGATGTAAATTTTATTCTAAAATTCGCTTTTAAAAATTTGTGATTGGCAGACTCAGTTCCTTATCCCTCTTGTGTTATTTACGGAGCGGCTCCTCCCCGTGGGTGGACCTAGTGTGAAACAATATATTATATTCTGTGGTTTCTGTTCTGAAAGTAAGAATCCTGTTCGCGGAGTTCTTCTGAGTTTTGAACCTCGTACGCAGATTGTTCGACGAGCTGCGTCGCGCCAATTGAGCCACCCGTCTAGTGACGTAAGTCACCAAACTACGCTTCGCTAACTGCTTACCGGGTAACGTCATCCGTATTGTTTATTTACTTCCCATCGCTGTGTATAGAATTGGGGCTTCTGTACTTCTACGCACGTTAGAATGTCGAAGTATGCTGCATGTGGGCGAATTGTCAGTTCTGCGGAAGGTATTAAATGTACTGGGTGTAGCAGTGTTTATGATCGAATGTGTTTTAAAATGCCTAAGAGCTTTAAGATGCCGCAAAAATGGATGTGTCCGGATTGTATAAGCAAACAGCCGCATAAAGACAATTCGGATACGCCAATTAAGGTGCTAACAGATCGTAATAAAAGCGAATCTTCAGCGTCTTCACCATTAGAGTATTGTAACTCTGATGACAAATGGTCACAAATTATGCAGGAACTTAAATCCGAAATAATATCAATGCGCCAAGAAATTAATAACTTTAGTGCAAAATTTGATAAAGTTTATACGGCGGTATGCGATTTATGCAAGCGAGTCGACTGTATGGAACACAGATTAGATGCGCTTGAGCAACAATAAAATTGTGAAACACCTTCAAATCGTAGTAATGAAATTAGTGAAATGATGGAATGTCTTAAAATGGATCTAAATGACCGTGATCAAGAACAACTTCTTATGGATGTAGAAATTTCCTGCCTCCCAGAAGTTAAAGGCGAAAATCCGGCACACCTCGCTATTCTTATTGCCGAAAAACTGGCTGTGAAGTTGTCTGAGGAGGATATTGTTAGTGCGGAGCGTATGGGACCGCCACGCAGCTGTGTCGAGGGAGAAGGTATATCTAAACCGCGGCCGTTAGTGGTGCGATTGATACGGCGTTCATTGCGTGATCAAAAAGTGCGGAATGCAAGGGTGCGTCGAGGCGTTGATAGTACCGGCTTCAATCAGCCTGGCCCGCCAAGAAAATTTTACGTCAATGAACGTCTGACGCGTACAAACCGTCAGCTTTTTTATAAGGTTCGCCAAGAGGCCTCAAAGCATGGCTGGAAATATGTATGGATGCGTGATGGTCGTATTTACGTTAGACGTCGAAACGATACTGAAGCACGTCGTATACGATGCGACCTTGACATCAAAAAGGTTTTTGGCGAAAATGCTGTTGACTTATAATAATTGTTATTATTAAATGAAAATAATATCCTTTTCTAAAGAATTTAAACAAACATTTATCAGTGACAAAATACAACACTTTATACTAGTAATGACCACGGAGTAGAGAGAGTGCTTTTTTATCATAGAGTATATTATAATATACAAGAGCACAGATTATAGAAGGCGCAAATTTTTATTACAACACACCCCCTAAATTAATGCCTTCTAGTTGTTAATTTTTACATTTCAGACATAAAGCAAACAATAAGTTTAGTATTTAAGTATTCTTGACTACATGGCAAGATTTAATTCCAATTTTATCTCTAAGATAACAAAATTTTATTTTACACAAAGGTTTGGTAAAAATATCAGCATATTGCTCATCACTGCATACATAGTTTAGCTCAATAATTTTATCATAATATTTTTCTTTTATAAAATGAAACTTAATGTCTATATGTTTACACCGTTTGTAAAAGTTTATGTTTTTAATTACATTTATAGCACTTTGATTATCTAGATTTAAGCACACTGATTTTTGATTAAATTCACCGATGTCACATGACAGTTGTTTGACCCACATAGCCTCTTTAGTGGCGGCACAGGCTGCCATGAATTCTGCTTCAGTGGTTGACAGGGCCACTGTCTGTTGTTTCTGACATGCCCAAGTGACTGCTGCTCCATTTTTAATAAAGACATATCCCGTGACTGAACGTCTTGTGCTGCGGTCGTTAGCGAAATCTGCATCACTGTAGCCAACTACTACATTAGGCTCTGACATTGGTGTGTAGCACAGGCCATAACCTTTATTCTCTTTTAGAAACTTTAAAATTCTTTTCACAGCATTCCAGTGTGTTTCTTTGTCAGAGTTTAAAAATCGACTCACCAGGCTTACTGCGAATGAAATATCAGGTCGGCTTACTGTAGCTAGGTGCATCAATGATCCAACTGCTTCCCGATATGGGATGTTCTTTTCTGTTTCTCCTTCTCCTTTCTCCAACTTCATATGTGGCTCAACTGGAATACAGTTTGGTTTACAATTATACAAATTAAATTTATTTAATAATTTCTCAATATAGTTTGACTGATGTATAAAAATGTATTTGTCGCACTTCTGTATCTCCATACGAACAAAATTTTTGAGTGAACAGATTTTCACTTCAAATATTGACTGTAAGTCATTAATTAACTCCTTTAAAGTTGATGTATTTTTCGCAAATAACAGTCCGTCATCAACATACAAACAATGGTATCATTTTGCTCCATTAATAGTGCCAACATACACACACTGATCAGCTTTACTATTGGCTAACCCAAACTTCTTTAAAACAGCATCAAATTTTGAATTCCAGCATTTGGGAGCTGTTTTAAACCATATAAAGATTTATTGAGTTTACACACCTTATCAGCATCGCAGGTTAAACCCTCGGGTATAGTCATGTATATGTCTTCTTCAAGCTCACCATATAGAAAAGCTGTTTTAATATCTAGCTGAATTATCTGAAGATTGTGTTGAGCAGCTTCTGAGAATAATATACGTATGGAATCGTACCTGACAGTTGGAGCAAATGTATCTTGGTAATCAATACCTTTGGTTTGTGAGTATCCTTTCGCACAAAGCCGGGACTTATAACGTGGACCTGAAGGTTCTTCTTTGATGCGAAAAACCCATTTACATCCAATTATTCGCATATTGGGAGTTTTTCTAACTAATGTCCAAGTATTATTTTTATGATGAGAATCAAGCTCTTCATTTATTGATTTTATCCATTTTGTGGCATCAATAGACTTTAATGCCTTTTCATAGTTATCAGGAACTTCATTTTCTGATAATTGGTCTTCACAGCACAGGTAAGAACTCTCTTCTCGTTTCTGTGCATTTAAACATCGTCTTCTTGTCCTTACTGTTATATTTCTGTCAGGTGAAGATTCTACACTTTCATCGGGGATGTACTCGCTGTCTCTGTGATTTATGTTCACTCACAGTGTCTAATGAGTCATCACTTGAAATTTCTTCTAAATTGTTACTTTTAATACAGCTTTCATTTGTAATTAATTCAATCGGTACAAAATCTCTTTTAACTGTTGACTCTAAAAATATTGCATCTCTACTTTTTATTGCTGTTCTTGAATTAGGTAATATGAATCGATATCCTTTTGAATTTTCACAGTAGCCAATAAAAATTAATTTTTGTGATTTTGAATCAAACTTCTTTCTTTTTTCTCTTGGTAAGTGGACCATTGCCTCACAACCAAATGTACGCATGTGGCTAACCTTAGGTTTCTGACCAGTCCACATCTCTTCTGGGGTTTTATAAAACAGAGATTTTGTTGGAGAGCGGTTTACAATGTAGGCAGCTGTATGAATTGCTTCAGCCCAATAGATTTTAGGTAAGTTAGCATTTAACATCATACATCTTGCTCTTTCTACTAAAGTTCTATTCATGCGTTCGGCTGTACCATTTTGTTCTGGTGTATAAGGTGTAGTTGTCTGATGTATTATTCCGGCATCTTTGAGAAAATTTGAAAATTTTTCATTGACATATTCAAGTCCATTGTCAGATCTGAGAATTTTAATGCTGCGGTTTAACTGAATCTCAACTTGTTTTTTAAATTCTTTAAACTTTTCTAGGACTTCTGA